TATTGGTTTACCGTCGGCGATAGTGAGATTAGGTTTTCGGGAGAAATATGTTCATCGTGATTGGAACCTTTAATCGCTCCACCTTCGGCATTGTATACAACAACCGGAAGATTGCTTTTTGAGTTTAGATCTAATCCACTGGGTCGGGTGATATGGAGGTGCAAGCAATCTTCACTAATTTCTTCAACCGGAGAAAAGAAAGGTGGCATAGGGTCTTTGATTTGGGGACATGCTGGCCCAGGTAGAGAAGCATCGATGATGGTACCAGCAGGGGGCGTAAAAGGTTTTGGAGGAACAAAACGGTTAGGCCCGGATGTATCAGCGGCGTATTTAACATTATGAAAGTGCTCAATTTCGTTTGAGAGGATCCCTCGGTAAGTCACTTCGGATTTTGAGAAAATGACTTCAGGGGCAGGCGAGGCGGTCGCGGTGGAGGTAATTGAGACGATGCCTGCGACGAGAAAGGCGGGGGAACGCCAGAGAAGTTGCGATAGTTGGTACATGATGATGCAGATAAAGAAAAGATGTATGTCTCGAGAGGTTGGGGAGGTGCGATATAACGATGGATGCAGCACATTCTTCGGTAATGTGCAACAGTTGCAATCCAACGCTCAAGCAACATCCCACCAACAATTAATTCAATATTTCCACTTTCCTGCATTTTCTCCCATTTGTGCTCATGCTTTGTGATATCATAATTGCCTGTCTTCATGGAATGCAACAAGTGCTTACGCGTTACATGTATGATAAGGAATTCACTGATAGTGACCATTCTTTTCAATCCCATTGACTTATTGAGGGAAGAGCAAAGGGGAATTTATGATGTTATGATTTTCGTCATGGGTTTCTTCGTTTGATAAACTATTTCGGCTGAGATATAAGACTGTTCGTGTTCAGACCCCTGCTCGGTGCATAGCTGTATCTTCAAAGGCATGTTTGTGCTTTACGCCTGTAGTAGTCGGATTGTTTGATGTGCTCAAAAGTCAAAGTGAAAAGAAATTTATATAGTGATCAACCACAAAGTCCATAGGGGTAGAAGTAGTTGAGGTCCGGACCCTGATCCTATGATCTCTCTCTTCTGCCAAATCCACATACCTAGCCCCATGATCCATCCCAGATCATTGAATAAAACAGAACACATACCATAATCGAAAGAAAGTAAAAGAGCCCATATAAGGGAGATCAAGCTATTTTCTTTCGAACTCTAATCAGAATCAAGTCCGAAAGAGAAACAACCCTATTTTTAAGAATGAGACAAGTTCTAAAGTTGGTATTACTGACATATCAACCTAAAGATTCTTGGAACACTTCCATTGAGCGAAGCAAGAACTTGCTTAAAAAAGAGAATTGGAATTCAATGAAAATCACATATTGTTTCATCACCAACAAGAAATAATGATTCGATGAGACCAGATTAGATCAGATCAGATCAGATCCAATATAATTCAATACAAACGCCTCAAATGCCTCCAAAACTACTATGTGAAGGACCCTTCAATCCCCGCTTCCATCATTTTAACCGCAAAAATCATTAAAACAAGTTCCCCACGCCTTCATGATACTCATAGTCCGGCCAGTACTAACTTTAACGTTCAAGAATCAGAAATCATAAACAACTTAAAAGTTGACAAAAAGCAGAATCAAATTTTTGACAGTAGCAATAATCAAAATTATTGTCATCATGGCTTCTCCAAACGTTGTTGCCATTATTTGGTGCCTTGCCGGTTACACACCTTGAATATTCATTTTGAGGATACATCGTGAACGACTTACCTACTAAAAGGATGGTTTGTCTCAAGGCAGAAAAGGTACACGCGAAGCCACACTCCACGGACCATGAAAACTGGAACTTACTTCTATACAATAAAGAGTGAACAGCGGAGATAGACTACTGGTGAGGGGTGGAATTTCCAGATTCACTTCCTTTGAGCATCACCACCGCGGCATATTACGTTGCGCTTGATGGCCAGATCATCTGGATCAACCAAGTGTCAAAATATGGTAAAATATCACAGTTCGTTCAAACTTTCAAGGCTTCAAAAACCTGGCATGAAAATCATAATATTTATCTTGCAACAGTTGTCTAATCCAATTTGATATCATGTTTCAGCGCCTCGCAACTATGCAATCAGAATGCAGCCCCTTACTCAACGCCGAAGCTATTTCTAACAGCTACGCCAAATCTCTCAATAGCCTCTGTCATCTTTTCTTCCGATGCAGCAGCGAATGTGGCGCGGAAAAACATATCTACTGGTACAAAGCCACTCTTTTCAGCTGTGAACCAGCTACCTGGACAAATGAGAACACCTTGGTCGATACCGGCGAGGAAAATTTCTTGTTCGATATCTCCAATTGGCTTGGTTTTGGCAGATGGGTGTTTATGCCAATCTACTTGGAGCCAGAGCTAAATTTTGTTAGTGAAGTCATATCTATATTGAATCCATGAGATACTTACGAACATGCCGGCAGTTGGCGGATTCCAGCTTACAATATCCTTGGGCAAGTATTTTTCACAAGCGGCAAGAATAACGTTTCGACGTTTAGTATATTCCAACCGAAGATTGATAAGCCATTGAAGGTAACCATTATGTCCCCAGCTTTCCTCTAGAAGTTTGTAAAGAACCATCTGGGAGATTCCACTTGGATTTTGGTTCGAGTTCTCGTTGGACCTGATAAATCTCTCGACAATTTGTTCGGAAGCGGTGATCCACCCTACTCTTGTACCAGGTGCAATGACTTTAGAGAAAGAATCCATTCGCATAACTCTTCCATCAGTATCGATGCTTAGATAAGTTGGTATGAGAGCCTTCAAAAATTCCTCATTGTTAGCCGGTGGTGGAACATCAGGAGCATCTGGACCAGTGTATGGTTGCATTTGAAGAAAATAGTAAGGTTCATCTTCTAAGATGTATACATCGTGCTTTTGGGCAACCTTGTAAATTGCATGTCGTCTTTTGGTACTTTGTGTTGCACCTGTAGGGTTTTGTCCGGAAGGTACGGTGTAAAGAACGAATGGTTTTCTAGCACCTCTTGCCTTTTCATCCCAGTTGCTCAAAATTTCATCCAAGGCTTCTGGCAAAAGACCTTCAGCATCCAGTTTGACACCCAAGAATTTTACACCCAGAGGAGCTGCGGTCTCTACAGCAGAAGCAAAAGTATATTCTTCGGATAACACATAGTCACCTCTTTCACAGAATATGCGATATGCCTGCTCCAAAGCTGATGTACTTCCTACAGTGAGAGTACAACCCCAATCTGCGTAAGGTGGATTGCAAACAATTTCGGTATGCTCTGTCACCCATCGAAGCATTTGTGCAGATCCTGTACCTTGTCCATAGTTGAGTGCGATAGATAAATCGTATGCTCCTTTGCCTTCTGATACATCATACTTCCCGGCAGTTATGATAGTTCCAGACTCTTTTGTTTGTTCTTCCGAAAAGTGAGGTATTGTAGGAACCTTGATGGATATTTCTTCGATTGGGAAATATTCGGGGCATGGTAGACCTCCACCAAGAGAAATCATTCCAGGGCCCAAGTATCTGGCAGCATTTTTCAAGTTCGATGGCTTCCTTGATCTACTCTCGAGAGAGATACGGTCTGCAAGTAGTCAGTGAAAGTACATAACCATTTTGAAAGAGCGACTTACGATCAAATCTTTTTGCTTTTGGTTTCCATGTTGACTATGACTCATTAGACATGACCAGCTCTTTCGGATAGAATATACTAACAGGGTTTTTGAAATGATCACTAGTTGTAAATGCTGCTACACCAGCAGTAAATTTCCCAGCCTTTGCACGTCTTGCAGAGACCCCATTGACAGTAAGTGGATCGGGAATGACTACGGATTCGGTGTCGACGACACCCTCGACATCAATTGCTGTTGGAGGTGCCATTTTCTCTTATCTGTCTTTGATTTGACTTGTAGAAGAAGGACGAGAAGTAAATGGAAAGAAAGATAGAAGTGATAAAGACAGAATCTCTGAGGAAAAGGCTGAGAAATACGGTGAGCTTATACTTGATGCGACTTCCCGTTGTTGAATATGTAGTTTACAAGGGTTGAGACAGTTGTTCAACCAATGTCAATTTCGAAGGGCGTGTCTTCCTGCGTAAGTTACTGGTAAGAAATGACCTACAAGAAAAGAATGTGGAGACGGAAGACGGAAGACGACGTAAAGTGAAATAAGAAAGATAACAATGTGACTATGTGACTATGTGACTATCATATGGTACCAAATATTACCATATGTACCTGAAGATCATAGAAATTATCATGTAATCGTAAAGTCATAAAAGTAATGGTCCACCTTTAGAGATGTCAGAGATTCAGAATGTGTAGAGGGGAAATCAAAAGTGCCGGTATCGCTTGGTATTTAATGAAGGTTAATTTTTTTGGAGAAAAACGTTTATCACGATAGAAGCCGTAGATAAGCGATACGTCCTTTCCATTATTAGATTAGCTTAAGCGGTTCAATTCCATTGTGGAACGATCCAGGGTATCACGAAGATGGTGAATGTTATTGTTGCATATATTGGATTGACCAATAACGGGATCTTGGCTTCACAAATCCTAAGTGATTCGTTAACCGCTGCCCGGTAAAAGGGAAATGCTTCATATATACATAAAAGTCTTGGTAGAATCGGAATCTAATTCTATGTAACCCGAGTAGATAGTTCTTGAGGTTATACTACATACGGTACTCGGATTGGCGCAAATGTTTCCAACTATTCTTATATTTACAGCAAAGAAAGGGAAATTGTAGAAAACACAACATTATGTATGGCCATGTCCATTAGAAGATTTATTAGATCGCCAATTTGGTCATACATGTATGAATGTTGTTGATGTTACTTTGAGAAGGATGACTGTTCCCGATGCATATGGCTAAAAACAGCAAAAATATCCTGAAACCCTGAACTGTGTTTTCTTTCTATAAAGGGAACCCATCAGAGTGATATTAACTGTAAAAACAGTGCAAAAAAGAACCTGCTGAAGGGGATTGAGCCCAACGCGGGGGTCGAACCCGCAACCTTGTGATTGACCTAGAACATCTTTCAATGGATAAGAGTCACACGCTCTACCGATTGAGCTAGCCGGGCAGGCTGTTATAGGGCTGTTTGCTCTATTTGTTATGGAGAGTTGTTTGTCTGACTATATATTGGTGTGAACAAAATTTTACTTGGTGCGTTTATGGAACTACTCGCTATCCGTAAGCGAGCCTATTCTACTATCTTATTTTGCACTCTCGAACCTTCTAATAAATACACAAAGGTGGGATATCTAGCCAAAGAAATATTGAATTTCATTTCTGTGGATTTAGAATCTAAATATTTACATTTAATTCGTTTTCGAGCGAAATTCCAATTTTACGTTGATGCCATAATTCCGGTCACCTTTTTCGCTACACTCGGGGGTTAATGCACGGACATCGAATTTTCTACACGGAGTTTTTTTTTTAGATCTTGCTCCTTAAAACAACATTCATACTCCTATCTGATGATGAGATGAAATGGATATCAACACAAAAATTAATGATCATCGGGTCCTCAAACTTTTGATCTTTCAAGTAGTGTTGACGATCAGCACAGAGCAATCTTGCGAAACTACCTTGCGGCCGTCGATGGCTGCTATATGAAAGGTAAATCATAAAAGTTCCGATAAAGCAATGCATACTTTATGCCTTTGTCTCCTCTCATTTCGGACAATCTAGATCTCCTTGATAGCTCAAATTCAATCCTATCGGCCTCTCCTGTGTTTCATCGATGCAACCGCTGCAGTAAATGCCGCGCCCGGAGCCAATTATCACCAGTTATTACCCTTTTCCCCGTGTTTGCGCCGTTTTCATCTTTTGTTCCTGGCTAGCTCTGCTCAGTCTCATCTTCATTCAATATGTATCATGGGTTTGAGCAGGCCTAACAATGCTGTGTTTTGTGGGTCGCCTTGTGTATCCTATTCATTCCCTTTTGGGTTACTGTACTCATATAACTATTACTCTACCAATGCACAGTCCCTAACTATGTTTGAAGTATGGGGAATTTCATTCTAAAAAAGTTGATGTACTGAGTATACAGATTCCGTTGAACAATGCTAGTTCCTTCAGAAGTACTTTCTTCTAAGCAGTGGTCATCGATGGGTCCTGGGTCTATAACCTTAGGGGCGTGAGCCTTCAGTTTTTTGACAGCATGAGCAACAGGCTTCAGCTATTTCTATATCCTCCCAGTAGTTTTATATCCTCATATGCAATTTTGCGTCGAGCCTACTGGGATGAACTTTTCCAAATCTGAAATATTGTATATCAGGATGTATGATGTCGACCTAGATTTTTCTGCCAGTCACTCTAGAGATCTAGTGGCATTGTAGCTTATTGAATAACTCATTTGCGATTATGGAGTTGTCAAGTATAAGTGGGCCGCCAGTGATGTCTATTATGTAGATTTCAGCAGCCATCATATTCTATTATTTACTTGACTTCCACGGAGGTTAAAACGAGCACATCGTCCTGATATATATACATTCGGTAAATATGATGCTGTCACAGTCGCAGAATTGGCACTGTTGCCTAACAGCTTTTGCTCTCACACTGTCTGTCATCACGGCCTCTCCTGTGCTTGCTCAAACTTAAAGCTTCTCGAGTGTTGTCTCGGCATATTATGGAGCAACTATTATTACCGCAAGCACCCAGGTAAGATTTAAATGCCCCCTAACAACTTGTCATTCTTAATCCTTCTTGTAGGTCGTCACTTATTCGGATACCACGATGTTGATTAATGGTATTTTGACGTGGAATCTACAGCACAAACGTTGCCTCAAAACCCACAAGTATCCCATGGCAGGTACAGACAGATTAGAATATGATATACAACATAAGTTCAATTCATGACTCGTTGATTTATTAATGAAATAACTAAGTGGGGATAGCTTCACTTTCTTGATAATAGCCTCAGGCCGGACCCTATTTAATTTTACCGTATATTATGACCTTACGTACGATTTTAAGAGTCCAGTTTTGTAACAATTTCTTCGATTTGAACAATCAAGTTCGCCGTATTTGTAGGTAAGCAAAATCCGTATTTGATGATCTAATTTTAGTTATGATATGCGGGTCATAAAGTACCTTAGGGCCGCTTATTCTATGGGATACACATTGACTGTCCCAGCTGGCTTGCTTCAAGCCGGAACTGTCATCGTTGGGTCCTCGATTCCTTACGTCACTTCAACCATTTACCTCGATGAGATTGTCAGCTTATACTTCAACGATTGGCGGTACCATTTTGGATGCCATATCAGTGACTACTATCACCAATACCACTATTATCTCAGCCTATGATTCGGCGTATATTTCCACAATTTCCACAATCTCCTCAATAGATTCGATACTTAGAACTATAATTGTGGCAATTCCTGCACTATATGTTACTTGAATCATTTATTTCGATAATTGAGAATCAGCCTACATTTCAAATATTGACGGAGATATAGATGTTGGGGTCGTTTTAGGCACAGTTACAACAACTAAATCCCTTCCTATTGATGGTGTAGTTTTCAGTTCAACTGTGTCCGTTGCTGGAACAACTTCAGGAACAGTTCTTGTTGAATGTGTCTAAAGCGATCTCCCTGTTCTATCTCTCCAAAATTTAGAACAAGTTTCAATAACTATCATTTTTCAAATTCTACCGTCCCAACTCATGAAAGTCTGAATCTGGCATCTAATTCACAATTATTTAACTTTCAGAGCCCCAAGCAGGATATCCTGGTGCCGAAGTGCCATCACAGAAGACTTGCACCACATAAGGACTAGTAACCGTATTACCATCTAAAATGGTAGTTCCATCACGAGCGGTAATCGAGAAAGCAAAGGGTCCAGATCCGTCACCATTTGCCCATAAGGATCTCATTAGATAATATTCTTCCCTTCAATCAAAATAATTGTAGATTTTTGTAGTGGATAACTGAATGTTACAACCAAAGTGGCATTAGCACATATCCAACCAGAATAGACATTGGCACCAACACAAAGAAAGGAGATATCATCGGCTGATGTTATGGTGAAGGTATAGATACTAACCATCTGGGAAAGAAGATAACCAACTAACGGTGGTATTTCCAGTAATTTCTGACATTTGTGTTTATAGGTTGGGTCGAAGTTCGCGTGTCCCGGCAGAGTTGATGATTTGAGGGGTTTTTAGAAAAGGCTTCGAATTGTACCCCGCTGTTGTTACAGTTTACATCTGGGGTAGGTGCTGTAGTACCGAGAATTGTGGTTGTAGCAGCACCCGTTCCGATTGTAGTTTTAATGTTCTTTTGATTATATACTTCCATTGTGAATTTTCAGATTGATTGATATTTTCATGATGTAAACAATTTTTTTTGACGGTTACATTTGGTAGTATCCCACTTCCTTCCTCGACCTCGCTGGCCAGATGTTGTACCTGCCAACTTAGGTTTGAGCACGGACCAACATGATCCTCAATTGACATCTTGTCTCATTTCATCATTGATATATAAACACCTAAGCATTGAAACATCAGATTTCAATTGACTTCATCATTTTCACTAATTCACTATGCCCAAATCACTTATCATACGCTTCTCATCATTACCTGCATGCCTGTATTGGTGCACCGGTCATTAATGATCTCGAGACGTCGCATTATATATGTTCCAATTCATGAATGAACTTGGCTCTTATCTGTTTGTTGATATTGACATTTTAGGTGACAACAACCAACACATCGAATCTATTCATGTTGCAGGGAAATTGGGATGATATAGCCCCTACAACAAGCTACATAACTTGATTGTTTGATACTGACTTCCAATGTTCGTCCGATTAGCAAGTTGTACTACTGCAATACGGTCAACAGCAAGCCAAATGGATGTTTGCCGGATTGAACTTCTTTCGAAGCGTATGGAACAGTGGCATTGAACTTTGATGCAAGCTTGTTAATTGAGAGAGGAGAGAGGTATACAAGTGTCATGCCGTTTCTCAAAAGCTTACCCCTTCATCATGATCTATCTGTCCAGTTGCTCCTTAATGATGGCGATAACCCCACATCAAGCACTTTGGTGGGTCCCTGGCCATATCTTATCCACAAGAACACCAAAACCAACTGGCGGCATACTGAATAAAATGGGTGCAATTCTGATAGAAGAACTGGTCCGAATACTCACAGGATCATAATGGATGTTTTTCACAATCCATAGTCGTCCTTTTTCTCGTCCTGCCACTGCGAGTTATTCGGGAACTCGGACGGTCCACATCCACCATGAAATTTCCACTTTCCATCCCCACGCTTTAGCAAGCTCGATTATGGTTTTCGATTGACACCTTCGTACACATCAAAGTAGGCCGGATGGTGTAGTTGGTTATCACGTGTCCTTAACAATTAAAAGTTGTTAAAATACGGACAAGGTCCTGGGATCGTGCCCCAGTCTGGTCATATCTTTTGCATTTTTGCTGTTTTTCCTGTTGTTTGAAAGTTGATGGTCGAGGAGGAAGGGGGATGCATTTTTTGTGTTGATTTTGGAGGATTGCAACTGATAGTGGGTCACTCGTGAATTATCCAAGGGATATCCTCCGATGTGTGCTTCATATGGGGATTTTGGGAACATTGTCGCCCTACGAATATAACTTGATGAATATACACAGGACGATTCCCAAACCACATTGCTATCCTATCACTAAGGGATTAGAGCACTACAAATTTATGGAGTTTAGTAATAGGTTCTTCGAGTTGAAGTCATCGAAAGCTTTTATGTCCCATCAGGATGACAATGGCCGAAAATGGATATAACACATGATATTTGAACTTGTCCCACCACAAATTTATAAGATTTCCCTGCTGGCGCAATGGTAGCGCGCAAGACTTCTAAGTAGTGATTGTATCTACACATGAATCGATCTTGAGGCTGTAGGTTCGAGACCTACGTAGGGAGTTACCCTGAGTATTATTGGTTTGAATCCGATATAGAAATCATTTTTTGCATGTTTGTTACAGTTTTTTTGCTGTTCGCCACAAGCAACGGGCTTAATTGGGGCAATATAAAGATGTATACTTAGAATAACCGCCACCTCTTACGAGTAAATCTGTGGTCGAGGCTTGACACAACTAGAAGAAATGTCACATTAAAAGACTATCATACAAACTTGCCATGTAGAAGCACTGGATTTTCGGCTGTAATGCGCACAGTTGGGTGAATAGAAAGTAGCTATTAAAAATGAGCAGGCCAGAATAGTTATTTTTTTTATCTCGAATATCTACCAAGGTGAAGTCTCGCCTTTCATGCCACCGTCAAGTCTTTGAAACGCTGGTAATTTCAATGTGAACATCTCATCATATAATCGTTTGTTTGAAGTCGGATGGCTTTAGTGAAAGACATGCTGGATATACATCGGCTGCCAAAATCCCAGATACTTACCGCATGGTTTGGAGATAGATGTTTCCTTTTATCCTGGATAGTTAATGAACTTATTCTTCAGAAATCTAAAAGATACTCAAAGTGACTAAATTTACTCAATGCTGGCAAACTACACATCATGGCAAATATCTTCAAAGGACTCCACTCTGAAATGATAGCTTTTGGGTGGTTAGGTTTTGTTTAAGTGGAAGAGGGAGGTCCTTGCGAAAAAGTTGTTTCCGGCGCTAGTCAGAATTTTTTTTTCAGTTTCCCCACCAAGCAATTACTTGCATCAAATATATTTCAGAACAATCGTCTATCATTCAACAAATAGAGCAAACAGCCCTAGAACAGCCTGCCCGGCTAGCTCAATCGGTAGAGCGTGTGACTCTTACGATTCTAAATCTATGAGTTCTTCTGATATCACAAGGTTGCGGGTTCGACCCCCGCGTTGGGCTCAATTCCCTTCATTGATTTATTTTTGATCTTTTTTTTTGGTCTATTTTTAATAGGATACATACATACATATCTCAGCTTGAGGTTTGAAAGCATAGTCTTCTTTCCGTTATTGTATTTGTTTATGTTTTATGGTTTATGTCCATTGCTCCATGATAAATCTCTTCCATCACTTTTGATATCTTTATCACTTTGAAGCCAGAGACAGACTACTTTAGATGAACACTGAGAGGCACGAGTCATTGTAAAGGAAAATCTATACAGATTTTTTTAAATGCCTTTAGATAAATCAATGTTTGCATAAGATATTGTTAATTCATTTTACTATACTTGACTTTTAACATCTGAAATGCTCTGGATGGTTTATGGATATACTTACTTACTATCCTTGCGAAGTAAGTTAAATTACTTCGAAGGCCCACAAGTTTAAAGATGAAATCCACAACCGTTTAAACACGGGCTTCTCGAAGTGATCATAGCGTCCTATGAGCTACTTATACATCTAAGAGGGCCTCTCACACATCGAATACAATAACACATCCGGCATGGTGTAGTGGCTAGCATTTCCGCCTCTCATTCGAAGCTTTACAGCTTCAATCAGGTCGCGGGAGACCGGGGTTCAATTCCCCGTACCGGAATATCGTTTTGCCATTTCAATGTTTGAGGTTTTATTTGATAACCTCTCCTATTTTCTAAGCCCTCCCGGCGAAACAGCAAAAATGTAGTTTCTACTAGGTTCTGATTTCTTTCCAGTAGAAAGAATCTGCTCCCAACTTTTGTCCACTTGCCAAGTCCTCATAATGGAAAAGTTTTTCCGGCGAGGATTATGGGGCAAAATAAATGTACGCGAGTGGGGTGAATGCGGCCCTAGCGTATTTCACATGCAAAAAGAGAATTTGAATCAGGGCCTAATCCGGGATTGAACCGGAGACCTCTTACAATTTAGATTGGACAACCCAAAGCAAGAATTCTACCACTGAACTATCAGGCCTGTTTATATGTTAGGCTGGACCGGTAGCGGGTATATATCCCAGAATTGAGATGAGAGTATCTTGTATGGAGTGGAGCCCTTTTTATGAAACATACCATACGCTTGGATACATCTAATATCTCTCAATGTATCTTTCCCGAGGCATTCAACTGGAAAGCGTATAACTTTGCTAGATGAGTGGTGCTGTAGCTTGAAACAAATCTAATTCTCTAGTGCAGAGTTCAATCTTCCCATTGAATATTCACCACTTATATCGCTACCGCACGCTTCTGCTTTATACATGTCGTCTGGAAGCCCTTTAATATAGGGAGACAGGGCCCATGCAGAATATGAAGAAGTGAGAAGTATAAATCTATGGTAGATGCTAGCGGCTAGATTTGCAGATGATTTTATGGCATTAGACTATTACTTCTATGGACCACAGACGTCCTAAAGTATATCAACAGAGTTTCCCTTGGGTACATCAACGACACTTTCGTCCATCAGATCATGTTCAAGGAGGAGATAAACCCGCTTAGCGAGTTGTATGGATTTCTGACACATTTGTGGATGAGAATATATAATGAAATGTGTGCCTAAACCGACATACTATACGGGTGTTGTGGTTTAGTGGTATAATTCTTGCTTAGGGATCTATCAGTCTTCATCAATTGATTCTCCATGTAAGAGGTCCCCGGTTCAATCCCGGGCAACGCCCATCCAGTTTCCTTTTGCAATCTTTTTTGGCAGATTTTGGTTAGGATGGAGAAATTGGGTTGGGGCAAGCGAGGTGGAGGAGGTATGGAGAATTATCCCTGCGCAGTCAGCTGCAGATGAAGTGGATTTTAGTTATGTAGAAATTAACAGTGAGATATATTATGTGTGAAAAGATGCTGTTACTTAATACTTGATATTACCTCCCTATGAAATCCTCCTTGACACTTTTGAGTTCATTTATCTTTTGAAGTTCTGATAATGAGAAACAAGAACACTGTTGGATAAAGTTACTTCCACCTCCGTATCCAACTAACAATGCGGGAATTCACCTTGCTATGGCCATTGAGTCCGTAAGGGAACTCCAAGCATTCTTATAAGACCGATATCAAATTCAAAAGCCGATCAATCTTGTTCAGTTGGAACACTCTTTAATCTGTATCATTTGGTATTCAACAATAAATAGATCCACGATATCTCTAGACGAGAGACACGATCTGGAATATTCTTATCCAAGGACGGATTTCAAATACTAAAATCATATCAGAATGATTGCTGATCTGAAGTCTAATTGCAGAACATACCTGCAAGACACTTACATCAATATCAAATTCCGACAGTGGACCTTGAGCCAATGTGACAACTTGTGTCAGCATTTTCTTCTGTTTTGGACCCTCGAAAATTTGCCATCAGCCGTTAGCATAATGGAAATCAGGAGCAGCTCGGAGTGAGCAACGAGTACATATGGAGTTTGATGTGTGGAATTACTTCTTCGAATGAATCTCGCATCAAGTATTTGATTGTAGTAACATTCTTCTTTTGGCCTACTCTATGAACTCGACAGAGGTTCTTCGATCATTGGATTGGATTGAGGTTCGAGAAGAGATGCCCTTGAACCAGCGGTGATATCGAGGCGATAAAGCAGTCAGGATAGAGCTCTGTCAGGTTCAAAAGAGACAACTCACCCTGCACCACCACAAGTGATAGATACAAGAACAACGCGAACCATATCATCGGAGTTGAATACACGTAGAACCTCGTTTCTCTTAGGGGAGGGATACATCTATCCGTCAATCCTCGTATATTGAATCCATTTATCTTCCAGCATCATGGCCGCTACGGCCCCCTCTACCCCCGAGTACACCACGAGAGGGCTTCGACTATCTGACTCGTCTCCTAGCTCAACCACAAGCCTTTAAGGATTTCCTTTCGAAGATAGAAGACAGGAAACCGTAATACTCAAACCCTTTTCCAAAATTTAAGACGGTCTTAAAAACCTATATCTATCCACTCTGAAGGGCTACATTCTAATACCTTAAGCCGAAATATCTACAATAAGTGGACAAGAAATACTAACAATACCTATTCGATCAGGAGTACCCCTCCTGCCTCGGAGCTAGGCCCATCCCACAGATCAACCTAATCGGCAAGGACGATCTGATTGATGAGCGCCACTAGGCGGCATCCGCGGTCTGCGCGACTGAACGGCTCCCTCAGGTCTACAGGAATAAGGGAAGATGGAAACTCTATGGTAGAAATGGACCCGGTTTCTGTATATACATACCCTCAGGACAACCCGTCCCTATACTCTTCGGGAGGTTCGGAACCTTTTACGGGCCTTCACGGACGTTAAATACTATCATCATCATCATCATCATCATCATCATCATCATCATCATCATCATCATCTTCCAGCATCTTCCAGCATCAATTGGACAAAACCAAGAGATAGTACACAAGTGAGAAGCGGCGCGGAAGTCATTTAGATGAATTGTGAGTAATCCACAATCCACAAATGAAGAGTTGGATGGAGAATAACATGATCAATGCGTATCTTTGGCAGGAGGGTAAGTCTGGCTCATATATGTTCTTTTCTGTCAATTCCCAAGATATTCTCATTGCTCATGCCATCATCTGAGGTAGGCATCGTGTACTCATTCATATATTATTGAAACACTTTTGAATATATATAACTAATCTAACGACATAGTTTCTGTAGCGACCTTAGCATTGGTATTTGACAAGTATCATACTTCAAATCTTCAGACATCACTTCAAGGCGTCCACACTATCACAAACGAATTTGTGCCTCGTGTTAAGTTGTAGATTAGCCCAGCTCGGAATCTAAATACTACAACTTCCCAGATTATCACTGAATCATACAAAGATGGTGGTAGATGATATGGACGAACGAATGCTCTTTTGAAGGAAGATCAAAAGGTATTGAAGAACTTCAGATTTGGATCGACCTAGAAACTTGATGTAAGATCCGTCCCTTGAGTGGAAGAGATGTACAGATCTGTGAAAAGCTTTCTAGATGACTCCAAATCTTTCTGAATGGCTGCCAGGAGGTGGACTGGGATATTTAATCTTGTATAAAGCACAAGATAACTAAGATTCACGCATCGAACCAGGTCTTATTGAATATAATCGAATCAAATTTAGTAAAGAAGGAATATGTATTGGTATAGGCATCGTTTAGAATATTTTCAGACCCAATATCAACCTTCAATAGAGTTTCTGCTGAACTGCAATATTACCACTGAGCTACAGGAAAGAAAAGTTTATATACCGGATCCAAAGGACCAAGCCAGAGCTATACCCAAGAAGCCAACCTGGAGGTCTTGAAATAGATTGCCTGAAATCAAGCGGTTAGTCTTTGATTTTCTGAATTTTCGGTTCAGATTGAACTTGGATGATGTTCCGGATATCTCTCTTGAAAGTAAATATGTTTTCTTCAAGAAACCTATTGTTCAGTAGGTTTGAAATATATATCAATTATTTGTTGAAATCGTGTGAGATGGATCCAACTCATTTAGGAATATCCACACTCATTATCAGCGGACGATCGAGTGCCTGCTAGACAACAATGCTCTGGGCACCCATCCCGAGATCATTCCAAAAGACATGCAAACGTTCTAGGATATTTATAGCTCATCTGCTTTTATGTGTTGGTACCTAAATTGTGTTTTCAGCACGGATAGCTTTAAATGTTCTTTGCAGCGAGACAAATATGAATCCCGACATCAACGCCAGACTCGCTGCGAAGATCACGCATATGTCTATTTCACGACAGGATTTAAATCCAAAATGATCGATACCACTGGGTCTATCATGCTTGTATCAAAAATGAGACTTGCAAAAGTCTTGAAGTCTCATCAGATGAAACTCATAGCTCTTTTTCATTGCTACCTGATACTATAAATTCGTTCACCACGGATGATCAATGAGATGATGTTGGAATTCTGGGTCTAGTACTAATACTTAATAGCTTGATATGCTTGAATTGGATAATCCCGTGGGGAATAACAGATGTTCCTTTTAGCTTCAATTATGATTTTTACTATATTGATGACTCTGTCCCTTCAGCATTCTTAGGAGATATTGAAACTAGCTAAAGTCCTTGGGCCTCAACGGAAAATGACATCAAATCCGTTGTCTCTCGCTTGATTCGATGCGTCTCTGGATCCCTATCTTCGCTTGTTCATGGCGAACAACATGCTATACGCCGACTAGGCGTCTTGATAATGTGTAAAAACCAGACACTAGTCTAAATACAACGACATGGACACGAAGAACTTCATATCCCATATTTCCATAATCATGACATCCTCGATTTATCTCCGGGTTCATTTCCGCATCAAAGTCACCGAACTCATCCACATTTGATGGAACCATAGCTATGCGGATAGTTCCTAATATTGAACAAGCGATCCAGCACGACATTTGATTTTTCATTCATGTAATTCTTACTACCTAACTATCTTCTAGGCCCTCGAGGTTCGTAGAATCTAAGATCCATCAGATATAGCCCTCAATCCCATTCAACACCTTGGTCGTCTCGTCTACCACCAATTCACCTAAAAGTCCCTGTTCCTTTTCCTCAGAACATAGCATCAAGAATGCAAGTACAGGTTCCTCCATTACGTGGGGTCAAAGTGTGGACGTTCTATCCAACTAGCTATTGGCCGAGTTTCACTTCCTCAACACCTACAAAAATGAACCAAAATTCAACACAACAAAAGCAAAAGACACAATCTCCCTCGGGTGGGCTTGAACCACCAACCTCTCGATCAATCTGTATTTGAATTACTTCAAGTAACAGTCGAACGCGCTAGCCAATTGCGCCACGAGGGATATTTGATGTTATAGCCACGCCAAATCTGAACTTATATAGCTAACTTCCCATGTATATTCCTAGATCCTAGAATTTACTTGATTAAATACAAAAAATGGTGGGGGACAATACGATCCAAGATGACACATTGGCTGCATTCTTGGTAAAAGTTTCAATTGTGGGGTTGAGGGTCGTTTAACCCCATCTCGGCTCGGCTAACCCCTTCATTCCACCCACTTAGTTGTAATAGTTGTGGTATACCAAAAAAAACCCCCATCTAGATGGACAATTTGACAAGTTGACGGTATTTCTTCTGAGTTTCTACAGTTTCACGGTCACTTTGACTTAATATACTGTTATCCGCACGGGTAGATGAATATTTTTAGTGAATTAGTTGATGAGAAACCGAGCCGATGAACCAAAAGCGTAGCCCCATAGCACACAAGACCAACAAGTCCCATACCAACCCACCAGGAAGAAATCCTCACCGCTTGACACCAAAACATACTTAACCCCTCTGATCTCCAATCCCTCACTTCCCTAACCAGCAAAAGTAAGAACAAAAAGTAGTGATTAACGGAGGTATTGAACCACACCCGATTTGAACGGATAACCTTTCGATCTGGAGTCGAACGCGCTACCGTTGCGCCAGCGGTCCCTAATCACATGATTGTAGAAGTTCCTCCGCTATCATCCTTCTTATACCCTTTTCCTTCTCCCATCTCCCATCTCCACATCTCCACTCCGCTCCACTCCCCACTCTCCACTCGATCAAGTAAGTCTGGTATGTAATACCAAAATCGAGCTCCGGAACCACAACACATAACCTTAACACATTAAGAATCGCTTCCTTAGCTCAGTGGTAGAGCGGACGATTGCAGTAGTATCATAGCTATTATCGTCAGGTCAGTCGTTCGAACCGGCTAGGGAGCTTCAATCGCTCCGTGATTCTCTTTTTGTTTTTGGTCGGTATTTACCTGCGGGGTTATATTTTGGATGTGAGATTGATGGATCTTTGAGGTTGTGCATATTGTAATAATAAATGTGAATATGAATGTGAATAAGAGAAACTGAATTAGTCTCTCGATTATTGCTTCATCATGGAGAGAGGCTTTGTGTTTTGTTTTTATTTCTACCTCATTCAAATCCTACATAATATACTAAAAACCAAAACCCAAACTGAAATAATCCAGTCTCAATCTCGATTTCAGTGGCAGTCTGATTCTCCGATTAATTTCAGTGATGATGCAGTGCGGTGTTCTTTGCGGATTCGGATTATAGAGAGAACGTATATAAACACTCATCTAAACTCTCAATGCCAGTCAAGTTTCTCACTAGAATTCATGGTCTCACGAAGAGTAATCTTACAACCTAGAAGTATCTATTAAGAAGGCTTCAGGTAATATCATTCCGGTGTTCCACCATACGCCATCAGCGTCAAACACTTCGCACCTCTCAGAATACCACCCACATCATCCATGACGCCCACAACCCCAGTTTACAATCGATAACTCACTTATGTACAGGAATAGAAGTACCAGTCATACATGGAATTTCATCAGACTATCTATGTAAGTCTACCACTCCTACAGCGTCTCGACAAGCAACAAAGGAAATAGATTTATTTTACAACAGCCCTTCAAGTATCCATCCATCTAATCCCAACGCCTTGCAAAAGAAAGAGACACAAGAAAATTTGAGCTACCTCATACACCTAATCTTCTCCAAAAACGCCATGCAATGCTACCCGCAAGTTCGAATATCATCTCAATCCAATTAATTTCACCATTAACTTACAATTCACACGTACCATTAACTTTCCTACTGCAAATCCCTCAACTTCTTTGTCGCATAAGCCGCTCCAATAGTACTAATTGCTCCGATGAACAAACAAACACTAATAGCATTTGGACCCTCCGTTCCATGATGTTCCCCTTCCTTTGCATTTTGAGCCAATTCCGGACTTTTCCCTGGTTCTAATATACTGAAAACAATCATACTAATGAAAGTTCCTATAAATTGCGGAATTGTAGTGTAAATATTTAGAATCCCAAAGTAGATTCCGGAAAGTTCGCCAGTGGATGCAACATCTTCCTTTTCACCGGAGGGGCCATGTTCGAGACGGAGTAGAGATGGTGATGGGGGAGAGGTGGGTGACTCAAGCTCGATATCACGGTCGGTGGTGGAGAGACGGCTATAAGAGGGTAATCCGCTCATTTTGTTTACTTCGACACCAAGGAATGCATATGGTGCCCAAGATGCGACGGACCATGGTCTATGAGCTATTAGTTGATGAAAAGCAGTAAATATCAAGAACGCTGAAAACTCACAATCCACAAAACGCAATTAATGACGTTGCAAATCGGAACGAGGACGCAAAAGGTGCTAAGAACATAGCTGATGAGAACATCAAATGCCCAACAAACCAAGCTCCAAGAAGATCTGGCTTATGTTTGTTGTAAGCCTGAACAAACCGAGCAATGCTTGCTGGTGGTCGCTGAGTGAAATTATCTTCATCTGGCGACTTGATCAAAAGAGGTAAAAGGAATGATCCGAAAGATGACACGAATGAGAATACAACGAGAGACATGCTTCCAATCCTTCCAATATCACCCAAAGCATCTTTAGACTCTTTGATCTCATGTGGAGCATCGTATCTGAAGTATGTTTCTCCAACAAATGTGGTACCATAAAATAGGAACGGAAACCATCCAATCCAACTCCAAAATTGACACCATAAGATAGCCTGTATTTTGGGCGGAACTGACATTGTTGTTCTATATATTTGTCGAGCGATTTTGAGTATTCCAGATTGACTGTCAGAGTCTTTGCTAGATATTAAAACACGTTCCGTCACGGCCCATGATGTGACACCCACGCAAAATATAAGTGCAAATGCCGCAATAAGAATGAGCTTCTTGAATTGAGTATCACCCATCGAAGGGCCAAACCAAGCGACAAGATCAACGGTACCAATAGCATACCCGACCAAGTGTCCCAGGGCAGCCATTCTGCTGGCTGAAAAGTGTCAATGTTTGGATAGCTAATAAGAAGAAGAATAAACCCACCCCATGATGATCCTGCTTGTTGTTTCTGAATAGGTAATGTGTCTACGATTAGACTTCGGCAACTCCATTGAACTATTTTCATTAACATTTGCACCACACCCAGACTGAAATATCAAACTCACCAGCATTGATAGCGAAATCCACGGCATAAATTGCCAACACGGCCAAAAGTACGGTACAACTCTTATTAAAATCCCCTTCTTCAACAAAATGCGATACTATTTCCTTTGTCCATCCGAGAACCAACAAGCATAATGCGACAAGGATAGAAGCCCCCACCATATATGGTCTCCTTCTACCCCATTTCGAACGCGATCGATCTGCCATTGCCCCCACAAGCGGTGCCATAATCAATCCAGATAAAGGCCCCGCGATCCATACTAAAGAAGTCTTCGATTTCGTAAGACCCAGAGAAAGTAAATATGGTGTGCAATCTATTCAGGTCAATCTGTCAATATTTTCCATGAACTGGAGCAGCATTCGACTTACAGGTCATTTCAATACCCCAAGTAAATCTGCATAGCAAATTAGTCAATGCAATTGTTCCCCATTCCTTTCAGAAAAACCTACTGCAATCCAACCAAAGAAAACGTCAACAATGCCATGCGCATCTGCTCTGTACTCCCCTTAATAGCCGGCTGCCCACTCCATAAAGCCATATCCGCTTTACTTTCAAAGTACCCCTCGAAATCGAGATCCCCTCCTCTAAGAACCCCTTCAACACTCTCACCCAGAACCTCTACCACACGAGTACGAACCCTATTTCTTGAGCGTCCTTGTCGTTCCTCGAATTCAAATTCTTCAGTCTGATGTTGCCTCTCGTCAAAGATACCAATAACAGTTTTGGTAGTTGTGTCCCCTCTCTTAAAATAGATGCGCTTCTGCTTCTCTTCTACTTCTCTCTTGTCGAAATGCGAATCCGAATCTGCCGCATCATCATCAATATTTGTGATTGTCATTTTCGTTTATATGCAAGTGCGCATACGGATCGAATACGAAATAGGAAATTCGTCTCGTGTACCAGTTGATAAAGTACATTTGTATGCATTTCGTGTGTACACGTATATAGAATCGCTTTTGATGAGGAAAGGGATGAGGAATTTCAATGAACTTACTGAACGATTTTGGAATTGGAAAGGTCTCACATACTACTTCCCTATTTGCTTTTTCTGAGATACTTCAATTGTATCGTGCAATGAGAAAAACGAGTGAAAATGTGTAATGTAAGTTGTAAGTTGTAACAGAAAGGGAAAGTGCAAAGGGGGTAATAGAAGTTAATTTTAACACCAATTATATCTTACACATAAGGTTCCGCGTACTCAGCGTTCTCTACAAGGGTAATTTCCATAAACGGTGAATACGCAGTACATATAATAACCGCTCGGAACATCTATGAGCAACATGAGTTTCATCAATAAGTGGGTTTCAATGTTCCAATGTTCCAATGTTCCAATGTTTCGTTCCAATGTTCCAATCTTGAGTACAGAAGGCTACATCCGGGGTAAATAGAGGTGGGAATTGATGCATATTTTTGATTGGGTATCTTAGAGACCTAGCTAGAGCCTAACCTACGTGAGCTAGCAGCAATTACAAGGCTGACACTTTTGCACTTCTAACTATTATTTATAATTTAGACATCTTATCTTCAAGATCCTTCACCCAACCTTCTACAACTTTCATATTTCCTCCAATGACGGTTTCTCCTCGTATTATTGCTTCCTCAACTTTCTCTAATCCTTCTTGCCACTTCTTGATATCGTTAGTCATTTCCGCTTGTCTTTGCTCCACTCTGTCCAAGTTCTCACTGGCTGTAGCCGCATCTGCATGGATAGCTCGTAATGATCGTAGTCTGTCCAGTAAGGATGGTAGAAGAGGCGCGAGATTTTCAATGGTAGGCAAAGTCCCGTAAAGCGCATTTATCTTCGAAATCTGTTCCGCGTCTTCTCCGTCCTCAGGTGCAACTTCTCCTCCAGCTGATCTTAAAGAATCTTGTGCAGCTTTGGCCGATTTTCGAGATTCCTCGAGTTTTTCGGCTTCTTGTGTCAATGTTCGCACTCTTCGGCTTATGCTGTCAAGAGATGATGGTGTAGACTCGGTAAGGATTGAGACCTGTCTTTCGAGGATATCGAGAGTTGGTAGAACGGCTATTGAGCTACTAGTAAAGTCCATCGTCGAGTTGAGTCCAAGAACCTTTTCCAGAAGTGCCAATCGTGCATCAAAATCTGCTGCTTTAGCCAAAGCATGACTCTGTTGGTATGTAGGTGCATATGTAACAGTATACGTAGAAGGTTCTCCCGTTCCCTGTGAAGTTTGTGGTGGCCCATTTGCCTTGATACCCGTTCCTAAATCTTTCGCCAATCTTGCTCCAGCACTTGTGAATTGGTCCCCTTGATTTGCGGATATCCCATCCAATAATTTACTCAACGAAGCAATATCATCTCCATCAATCGACTCTCCGTCTTCTTCCGTATCCTTCTTCTCTAGATTCCTCTTTCCATATTCTTCTTTGACTTCCTCAATTTCACGTCTTAATCTTGCAAGCTTTCTTTCCAAGCTTTCCCCATCATCATCATCACTAAAATCGCCAAATTCTTCTGTTCCGTCTTGCCTTTTCCTGTGTCGTCTCGAAGAAGCTTTATATGATTTCCTTTTTGCTGTGACTCTGTCTGAAAAGTCTACATCGCGTGCATCTATTTGTGCCGGAGAGAAATGCGAACGGGCTTCATCGGGGTGTAATCGTGAACGGGAAATCCCTCCTAACTCCTCGTCATCCTCATCGAAATCGTCATACGAAGAAGACGTTGATTGAGAATGAGCTCTGCCAGTCTAAAAACTGTTAGAATGAATGAGGGGAAGGGTTGAATT